CCGATGCAAGGGTGTTTTTTTTCCTGGGCTTTTAATGCTTCTGCACATAATCAAGTTTATTTAATGCTCTGGATAAAGCAATATTGTAATAATATCCATGCAGATATAAGAATAGCATCCAGGAACATTCTTTTGTAGACTATGGTTTTACAAATGATGAATATTGTTTTTCCATTATACAGGTGAAACTCGAAAAATTTGAATATCGTGCAAAAATTCATTTATTTCAGTAATGCAATTTAAAAGGTGAAACTAATATATGAGATAGACTCATTACATGCAAAGCAAGATAGTTCAAGCCGTGATTTGTCATGATTGTGATGATTATGGCTTACAGCTCATGAAAACCCCAAATCCACAATCTCAGAAAATTTGAATATTACATGCAATCAATAAAACAAGGATTGTACATAGAACAATATCGGACCTCTGACAAGTATAAGCATGCATATGTACTCAGTACTTGGTTTGGGCCCCTTTTGCAGCAATTACTGCCTCGTGCTGCGTGGCATGGAAGCTATCAGCCTGTGGCACTGCTGAGGTGTTATGGAAGACCAGGATGCTTCAATAGCGGCCTTCAGCTCTTCTGCATTGTTCTGTCTCATGTCTCTCATCTTTCTCTTGGCAATGCCCCATAAATTCTCTATGGGGTTCAGGTCAGGCAAGTGTGCTAGCCAATCAAGCACAGTAATCCCACGGTCATTGAACCAGGTTTTGGTGCTTTTGGCAGTGTGGGCAAGTGACAAGTCCTGCTGGAAAATGAAGTCAGCATCTCCATAAAGCTTGTCTGCGGAAGGAAGCATGAAGTGCTCCAAAATCTCCTGGTAGGTGGCTGCGTTGACCCTGGACTTATGAATCACAGTGGACCAACACCAGCAGATGACATGGCTCCCCAAATCAACACAGACTTCAAGCATCTTGAAGTGTATGCCTCTCCATTCTTTCTCCATACTCTGGGTCCTTGGTTTCCAAATGAGATGCAAAAGTTGCTCTCATCAGAAAAGAGGACTTTGGACCACTGAGCAACAGACCAGGTCTGTTTTTCTTTAGCCCAGGTAAGACGCTTCTGACGTTGTTTGTTGTTCAGAAGCGGCTTGACAAGAGGAATATGATATTTGAAGCCCATGTACAGGAACCGTCTGTGTGTGGTGGCTCTTGATGCACTGACTCCAGCCTCAGTCCACTCCTTGTGAAAGTCCCCAACACTTTTGAATGGCCTTTTCCTGACAATCCTTTCCAGGCTGCGGTCATCCCTGCTGCTTGTGCACCTTTTTCTTCCACACTTTTCCCTTCCACATAACTTTCTATTAATGTGCTTTGATACAGCACTTTGGGAACATCCAACTTCTTTTGCAATTACCTTTTGAGGCTTTCCCTCCTTATGGGGGGTGTCAATGATAGTTTTCTGCACAACTGTCAGGTCAGCAGTCTTTCCCATGATTGTGATTCCTACTGAACCAGACTGAGAGACCATTTAAAGGCTCAGGAACCCTTTGCAGGTGTTATGGCTTAATTAGCTGATTAGAGTGGGACACTTTGAGCCTAGAATATTGCACCTTTTCACACTATTCTAATTTTCTGAGATTGTGGATTTGGGGTTTTCATGAGCTGTAAGCTTTAATCATCACAATTATGACAAATCACGGCTTGAACTATCTTGCTTTGCATGTAATGAGTCTATCTCATATATTAGTTTTACCTTTTAAGTTGCATTACTGAAATAAATGAACTTTTGTACGATATTCTAATTTTTCGAGTTTCACCTGTCTAGTATGCAAACTGACATAGAGGTGGTATTTGAGAGCGAGCCATTGTCATTAATCATCTTGCTACCACTTATGTAAGGGTTATGGTGAAACAGAACTGCTTGAAGCTGGCCTGACTTAATAATCTTTATGGCAGCTGAATTTCCCTTATAGCAGAAGAGTTCTCTAGATTCTGATGATTCATGAATAGCTGTGATCTGTGACTGACAAGTCATCGATCTTAGTCAGTTATAAAACATGATTGCCATCTCTGCCCCACAGTTTGCCATTCCTGCCACTAGATCCTTCTGCTCTGTGTCCAGAATCAGATCCTTTTAATGTACCCTCCACAACCTGCTCTCTCTGTGTTCCCTCCAATCCCTGCTGCTGTCCTCCTCTACTGGCATAGGCAGAGACAGTGGGTGGTGGAGGGGATCAAACTGCGGGCACACAGTTCCCTGAATGAACATGAGAGTACTCCTATGTTCATTCATAACTGAAGGGATTGGTAAACATGAATGGCAAAGGAAAAGGAGAAGGAGTTACCGCAAGGACTTCAAGGACTTCCTTGTTGAGCATACCTCTGCTGTGACTGCTATTCTGCTATGACCAGGTTAACCTTTCCTTCGGGTAGTGCCCCACTGAGATCCTTGCAGTAACCTCTTCAGAGCTGGAGATGTGCATTTAAAGATCTTCCGCTGGTTTTTTCTAGACTTCCTCTGCTTTGAGGATGTCTATTTTCGAATCAAGTTACACAGATACACTGACTAATTTATCATTATACTAGTAATTTACCCTGAAGAAGGAACTCCGTTCTGAAACATGGAGGGAATTGTGGGAAGATTTTATTATTGCCAAGCAAGACATGTATCTATATTGTTGTATTTCTAAATACACTTGGGTATATGCTGGCTCAATTATTTGGTGTATGATATTGTATTTTACCTTTGTCCCCTTGGCCATTTGGCCAATTTTTTTTTTGAATAATAAAGGTTGCTTTTTTCATATATTTCATGTTTCATATCTTCTGCCTCTAAAGTCCCCTGGGGAATCTTTTGACCTTTTGGTTGCCTTTCTTAAGACAGCAGTGGAAGGCATTTGTTCACGCTGCTGTCAATTACAACAAGTGAGCCAGTGAGAGAGAGGACAGGGCCGAGCCATGGCTCCATGTGTGAATGGACACATGGAGCAGCAGGTGTCCCCATAGCAGGCTAATAGGGAGGAGCCAGGAGAGCCTGCAGGGGACCCGAGAAGAGGAGGATCCGGGCTGCTTTGTGCATAACCACTGCACACTGCAGGTAAGTATAGGCATGTTTGTTATTAAAAAAAAAAAAAGTATGCCTTTAGAATCACTGTCAATGTGCAATGATCGTGTATTTTGTTCACCTGCCTGTTTCCTTACATTTAGCCAGGGTTCACACAATGCTCTACAGGATACCGCATGTAATTCGCACAGGAATCACACTTCATTCCTGTGCGAATTACATGCAAATGTCTATGCGATACAACTTAGGTATACATTATGTATGGCTCAAATCACATCACATCCTCACCAAAAAAGCTGCAGGACCTTTTTTAAATCCGCAACTGAATTGTATCGCATGTGTATTCTCACTCATGCGATGCAATTTCTGGCAATCACATTGCGTTTTGGGATCTGTTTCGGGGTGTCTTTAATTTATCATTGACACCCACACCAGATCGCATGAATGCGATGCGATTGCAATGCAGTGTGGGAAACTCACAGGGTTTGAAGTGTTTCCTGCACCGCATTGGTGTAAACCCGAGCTTACAGCATATAGCCTAAGTTTGGTCAAACATTTTTTTTTAAATCAACAAAGGGAAGTCACTTACCATGAATGCATAGTATTCCTGATGGTTGTTGCTTTATCCTTCCTGGCGGTAATCCCGAGTGTGACTCGGGTTTAATTTCAGTACCAAAAGCGGTAACCCCAACCAACACTCGGGATTACACTGCAGCGATCCCTCGAGCCTTACCTTGTCCCACGATCCTGCAAGGTCCCCCTGGCCATGTCCACCTGCCGATGCCCGCATCCGTCTTTCGGGTTACGGTCCCTGCAAGTGTACAGGGGTGGCAATGGCGGGAGATTCAAAAAAGTTAAATTTTGACATACACACAATACACTGTAATCTGTTAGTATTACATTACTGTATCAAACCATTTCACCTAAATTTTGTCCCTAGTGCTTTGTCCAGTGCCTTGCCTGCACTTTTACCTTCTTTCTGCCTGGAAACTGAGAAACGTCTATGGCGTCCAAAAAGTGTCCCTTTAGGTCAAAAGCAGTTTTAGATTAGCTAGAAAACAGCTATAGTGAATTAGAGTCACTTGCAGAATTGAGCGATAATGATTCGTGGGGAAATTCGTCATCAGACACTGAAAACGATTCTGTGACTGAGCTCAGTGATGTGCGAACTTGGCGCTCTATTTCAAATTTCAGTGTTTTTGGTTTGTTTACATTATTAAATTTATTATTATATTATTATTTTTTATAATTATTTATTATATTATAATTTACGATTTTGTGTTTCATTCTTTATCATACCCGGGATGTTTACTAATTTTGCAAATTTCCATGCAAAAAAATTTACCGCTTTGACATTCAAAAATATTGATTAGTTAGACCACCAGGGAGGTTAATGAACCCTCCAGCCTGGCAGCCATAATTTAACTGTGCTGCAGCAATTAACAGAGCTCAGGGACCTGTCACAGGCACTTATCAAGAATATGACTATGCTCCTCCTTTCCACCTCCTCCATTCGTAGAACTATAGTACTGTGTACTATAGATTCCATTAATGAAAAAGAGGTGGACATTTCATTAATCTGCCCTTCCTCCATTCATAGAGGGCTTTTCATTCATGGAAGCTATAATGCACCTTCTATGAATGGAGACAGGAGCACAAAGTGCGGGCATAATCAGCACTCCTAATGAGTGCCTGTGACATTTCCCTCATCTCTTTTAACCCCCACAGCACCACAATACTGCAGCTGCCTGGATAGGGGGAGTTCAGAGGACATTGGATTTCAGCTAAAGCAGCAGTCATCAGCAATAAGAACACTTTACATTGATAGCAGGTACTATTCTTTGTGCTACCTTAAAACAAAATGTATGACTAAAGGTAGTCTTTTAAAAAAAAAATTTTAATGTTTGAAAATTTAATTTTGGGTCAGGAGATTGTGGATTTACATTATATTTGATGTCTCATGCATTATATTTTTTTTTGTCCTTCACAGCTCTTCAAGTTATTTGAGGAACTGATTGCAAACAAAACTAGACTAAGTGAGGTACTGCAAACTGAGAAGCAGATTTACAGCTGCTTAATTAAATGTCACACAGATTGTGACAGGTAAGTGCACTGTATATCACTTCTAAAGCTGCATGTAGATTATTGGAGACAGTTTCATGCATTGCAGACAACTAAAGATAAACAGAATGTGGTATCCTACATGCAATTAAAGATTAGAAAACCAGTATGTTTGATTGCAAAAAACACTTTACTTTTACTTTACATTTTACATTTCATTAAGTAAAATTACATAATATATTGGCTGTCTTAGTTATGAGCCTTTTTAAAGCTATACAAAGTACTTTATCACCCATACTGATTTATTTCTGCTGTGTAGGACAGCGGGGTTGATGAAGACAGAGTGCATTGCAGGAAAATTAATTGATTGTTATGTCACCAGTCACAATCCTTGTTTCATATTCATATCTGGGGAGCAGAAATTATAGCTACATCAAGCCCCGTATTCTTATCATTGAGGTGTTTAATCCTTGTTTCATATTCATATCTGGGGAGCAGAAATTATAGCTACATCAAGCCCCGTATTCTTATCATTGAGGTGTTTTTACTGATTAATAATTGTGGTATTAAAGGGAATCTCAATGTAGAAAATGTAGAAAAAAATTGCAAAGTGCACTTCAATAGCACACCAGCAGTGCATAGAGAGCTTCATGGAACGGGTTTCCATGGCCGAGATGCTGCATCCAATCCCTACATCACCAAGTGCAATGCAGATCATCGGATTCAGTGGTGTAAAGCACGCCACCACTGGACTCTAGAGCAGTGGAGACATTTTCTCTGAAGTGACGAATCACACTTCTCTGTCTGGCAACCCAATGGACGTGTCTGGGTTTTTGCGGTTGCCAGGGGAAAGGTACTTGCCTGAATGCATTGTGCCAAGTGTAAAGTTTGGTGGAGGGGGGATTATGGTGTGGGGGTGTTTATCGGGTTGGGCTTGGCCCCTTAGTTCCAGTTCGGAACTCTTAAAGCATCAGCATACCAAGACATTTTGGACAATTTCATGCTCTCAACTTTGTGGACACAGTTTGGGGATGACCCCTTCCTGTTAAAAAATGACCAGTGCACAAAGCAAGGTCCATAAAGACACGGATGAGCGCGTTTCGGGTGAAGGAACTTGACTGGCCTGCACAGAGTCCTGACCTCAACCCAATAGAACACCTTTGGATGAGTCACAGCCAGGCCTGCTTGTCCGACATCTGTGCTTGACCTCACAAATGCTCTTCTGGAAGAGTGGTCAAACATTCCCATAGACATACTCCTAAACCTTAAGGACAGCCTTCTCAGAAGAGTTGAAGCTGTTATAGCTGCAAAAGGTGAGCCAACTCAATATTGAGCCTTACAAACTAAGACTGGAATGCCATTAAAGTTCATGTGCATGTAAAGGCAGTCGTCCCAATACTTTTGGCAATATAGTGTATTTCATGCGAGGCTTACTAGAGCTGCATGACCTTCAGACTATAGAAAGGTCATGTATAGAATATGTTATTATGCAGATCCACCACAAATGCACTCTTCAGGAACTGCCCACTGAGGCGAAGCACAAGTTCTCTTTAAGGCACTCCATATGGAAACATGGCACAAAAAGCACTCTCAATTCCTCACATATGGCACTGCTACTAATCTAGTCTTGCTCCAAGTCCCCCACATGACCATGCTCAGAAAAAAAGAGATGGATACTTATACTCCACATAGTGAAAATCTGCCATCCACTCCCCCTTCATCAGGGTAAAGTAAACATAAAACATAGTCATAATGATGAAAAAGTATGTCTAAATATGCCTGCGTATGATAATATAGCACAAATCCTAGAACATCACATGATAACAACATACATTATTTGTCACACAAACTTCAGTTGTATGCATTCAGTTGAGACAATTGAAGTTTATTACAATTTGGTTTTTATTATGTGATGTTGTAGAATTTATGGTATATGCTCATGTGCATGCATATTTAGACATCATTTTTTTGTCATTTTGTTTTAGGTTTATTCTTGTATACTTGATGAATGAGGAATGGTGTTGTCCACAAAATCCATTGAATGATTTTATGTTACTTTTAACCAACAATTAAAATGATCTTATACTGTTTTATCCTGTTTTGGTCTTGCACTCCTTTCTGTATTTCTGTGGTTTGAGTTACTCTTGGCTGCCCATTTAGGGAAGATTTGCTGTGTGGGGTTACCTCGTCAGAGCTGTCAAGCTTGTTTGATGCTTTCCTTTGTCTGACTACATGTGCAAGCTCCCAGCATCTCCTTGAGTATGTTGTTCTGGACTCCCTACTTCTGAGGCACTGGAAGCTTTTCTATTGCTAGAGCCAACCTAAAGATATACTGTATCTGGAGGAAGCATAATGGCAGATTTAATAATACCCAATACAAACGTAAGCTGACATAGGGCATGCATAGGAGGAAGATACATTTTTCTTGACTATTACAGGTAACCAACAGCCATAGTCAATCAGTTATTTGGAGCAGGGGTATGAAAACAAGAGAGATGAACTGAATTATGGTAATACGTTGTAATAAATTATGTTTTTGAGCTGCATTTGACAACACATTAATTGATAGTTGTCTTATAAAGCTTTAACAGAACAAGGAAAAAAGTATCTCACAACTTACTGTTGTATACATTTGATCCTTGTCCATCATCACTTCTCTTCTGCCTTTTATTGCTAATAGCCCATCCACATTCATGATTGGGCTTCCATATAGACCACCTAAAATTGAGCATCACTGCTTGCAACAATTCATTTTACTTCAGTCTTAGCTTTGTATGCTTTTTTTTAATTTTTATTTAGAAGTATGCAACAGTTACAATGAAACAACATGGAAAGGCGATGACCTGAATCGTAATAGTGGTTTAACCAAAAAGCAAATGCAAAACTCACCATATAAATAAAAACACTGTACGTTGCCCCCCCACTGGATAACTACAGAAACACCATTAAACTGCCAGAGCAGAGGGAAGTCTACTGCAATATCAGTTCCACTGGAACTGCGCATACCAGATTTTCTGATGTTCTGGGAAAAAGAGGAGAAGAGAAAAGAAAGGGACAGGAATAGTAAAGGAGAAAAAAAAAAGGTGGGGGAAGAACCAGCTAGCACATATTGCCCATGGCTCAGACTGAAATTGCATATATTAAACATATTGGAGGTATGCGTCTGAGAAGCGAAAGAGGTCCCAGTAAAACCATCTGGACTTATGTTACTCTGATTTGTCTCTGATATCGGAAGTCAAATTCTCCATCTGTTTGATGTCATTCACCCTGGTGAACCAATGAGTCACAGTCAAGGCTGCCTGTTGCTTCCACTGAGATGGGATAAACACACGTGCAGCGTTGAGAAGATGCTTAAGGAGAGATTTATGATAGTGTTTTTCCGACACTATAAGTAAGGTTAAGGAGGACTGCTGTTGGGTTATTGTGTAGAGATATGTCCACAAATTTGTATGAGTTGGAGCACTGGTTGCCAGAAGGACTGAAGTTTGAGGCAATCCCAAAAATGTGAAGGACAGGTGTTGTTCACAACGCCAACACTGGTCAGATTGGTTGGGAAAAATTTTGGCCAGGACCGATGGGGTTCTGTACCAACGAGTAATGAGTTTATATGAAGACTCTTGGTATTTGCTGCAAAGGGAAGACTTATGCACAAATAGGAGAAATCAGTCCTTCTGGGGAATGGTAAAGCTCATCTGTAAGTCCCGTGCCCATTTCTCTAAGAAAGGGGGGGTCAGCAGACGCATGGAGGTCCGATAGTATTTTAGAGCAGGTCGACAGGGTGCAACGAGTTGGGCCATCTTGTAGGCACAGTTCTTCAAAGGAGAGAAGCCACCTAGGAAAAAGCTCCAGCCTAGGCAAAGAACCTAAAAAATGGGAGAGCTGAAGGGCTCTTCAATAGTCTAGAGTTATGGGTGTCTGTCCACCAAATAGTGACTGAGCAGGAATCCATGTGGGAGGAGATGAGAAGCACAAAGTAGACCTTTCGAGGTCTGTCTTAAAAAGTGTGGGTCTGTGAGGCCCGGGGAAAAGGCTGGGTGGCCAATAACTGGTGTCATCGGCAAAGTAAAGCCGGATATGGAAGATAGTCCACCTCTGCTAGTGTGGGACTAATGACTGGATGTGAGGCTAAATAGGCAGTGTACATATTGCTCGCCCAGGGTAACGCTGCTAGTGGAGCTTGGGCCATCTCCCTCTCCAGTTCCACCCATAGTTTCATATCCTCATGTCTGCACCAATCAACCACCTGCATCGTGTGAACAGCCATGCAATACAGGGCCAGATCCAGGAAGCCCATGCCCCTTTTGAGCTTGGGGTGCAGCAACAGAGCCCAACCAGTACATGGACATTTTCCCCACCACAGAAAGCGCGTGAATGCAAAGCGAACAGCACGAAAAAAATCGCTGGGGTATCTTGATTAGTAACATCTGTAGCAAGTATAGATGTCTGGGCATGGCATTCATCTTTAAAATATTACAACGGCCAAACCAGGAGACGGCCAGCCCATCCCATTTCGGAAGGTCTGCCTGCAATTTGACCAAGAAAGGTTGGAAATTCCGAAGGAAGACATCAGATAAATTGGCAGGTATGTTTGTCCCGATGTATTCTAGGGAACAGCTTACCCATTTAAATGGGATTGAAGGCTCCTGAGTGTGGATTCTGGTATGGAGACATTCAACGCTTCCGATTTTTGGAGATTAATTTTAAACTTGGAAAGAGCCCCATAAAGTTTCAATTCTTGTAATAAAGAAGGCAGTGAAATCACTGGATTGGAAATATAGAACAAAAGGTCATTGCAACGCCCCCGCCCGAACCCCGCTAATGTTCGGGTTGGAGTTGGCATGACAGAGAAAAGGTTCTAAGGTAAGTACAAATAGTAAAGGTGACAGGGGGAACCCTGTTTGGTGCCGTTAGAAATTGGGAAGGGGTCAGATTTTAGACCATTCACGAGAACAGTGGCAGTGGGGTTACTGTACAAAGCAGAGACCCATCGTAAAATGGAAGAGGGCATCCCAACAAGGCGTCACGTCTCCTGAAGGAACTTCCAGTCTACGCGATTGAACGCCTTCTCAGCGTCAGTGGACAGAAGCATGATAGGGACACTAGATCTCCTAGCTTGCTCAATAACATTTAAAGTACAGATAGTGTTATCTCTAGCTTCTCACGTGGGTATGAAGCCAACTTGATCAGGTGCGATGAGACGTGGCATCAGCGCATTCACACGCGAAGCCAAGATTTTTGTAAATATTTTAAGGTCACAGTTCAGAAAGGAGATATACCTATAACTGGAGCATAACGGGGTCCTTATCAGGTTTCGGAATGACTGTGACGGTAGCCCATAACATATCCTGAGGGATGGCATGTCCTTCTAAAATAGCATTAAAGGAAGACAGGAAATGAGGTGCCAAGCAATCACGGAACGTTTTATAATAAAAGCAGGGAAAAACTGTCTGGTGGGGAGCCTTCTCTGTTTGGGTAGAGGCTATGGCTGCAGCGAATTCCTCCGTGAGATGGGTTGAGAAAGTGACTCCTGTTCTTGGGTAAGGGTAGGGAGGTTAGCGTCGTGGAGATACTCCCGAATGGAATCCAAGGAAGGGCAGTTCGAGGAAATGGGCGAAACCCGGTCTATGGTATAAAGTTTGAGTTAAAATTCCCGGAAAGCCTTCGTCATATCCGAAGAGGTATGGAGTTTGGTGCCAGCGGAATCAAGCATGGTTGGGATATAAGACCGAGATTGCCTGTCTCTCAACACATTAGCTAATAATCGACTGCACTTGTCATCATATTCATAAAACATTTGGCGTGTATTAAGCAAGATCTGCTTTGCGTTACGGAAAAATTGGTCCCTCGCTTCCTGAATCGCTTCCTGATGCTTGTATGCTTTTGATTGTTGCTGAACCTGTTCTATACAGTAAGAAGATGGGGCTAGGAACAGGGTAGATATGCTAAAAAGAACCACCTAGTCTTTAAAGTTGTAAAGGTTTGGTTGGCATTCAGCCTTTAGTTTCTTTCTATCCTTTCTGGAACTGAATTGAAAAATATGGCAGTGAGATCCTGTAGTATTCAAGAAATAAGAAATCAGAAGATGACTGCACATTTGGTTCCACCTATGCCTAAAATGTACATTTTTAGTGTACTGACATGTTAATTAACACAAACTCTTGCTTTTGCAGATTGTTTCTCTATCTTATTCTGTTTATTAAATGGTGAAAATATTATGAATAGACTTTAATGCTTTAAACTCTTTATTTTAACAGTGTTAGTTTCAGCTCGAAAATTCTCAATGAGCTTCTGACTATACAGGCACTGAGGAGTCAGCTTGAAGAAACCTTGATGAAAACAATTGAACAACTAGTTGCCCTGCAGTCGGAAAACATATTTGTATCTGGTTTTGGAGGTGGGGACACAGAGTTTTTGAACTTTCCTATGAAGCATGACAACTAATAACAGATTGTTTGACTGCTTCTTAACTAGAGTGAATTGTGTTGCTTAACTTACCCAAATCACATCAGCTAACAAAATAAATCTGCTGATTGAAATTACATAATTAATTGCTAACTTAAGCTAACCAATTCAGCAGTAGATATCTTTATTTATTTTAGCTTTCCTCATATTACATATATTTTAATACATTTAGACACCTCATATTTATGAAAATTTTTTTGACTAATCCTTCCTGTCCCGTATATGTTATAGATGTTGATCTGGTAAGCCTGTTTCCAGTTTCTACATGTGTCTGTACTTCTAGTTCTATTAGACCCTTGATTGTCTCTATATGGTGAACAAGAGCTATCCTCCAAAAGTTCTTACTCTTTCCCATGCTTTTTCTTACACACCCTGTCTCCAGATTGTGTCATACCCTTTAAAGTGCTCTCATGCATATACTGCCTATGTTCATACATTCACATTTCTCTCCTGCATGTTACTCAATGTCATACCCTTCGGCGCTCTCCGGTTTACTGCCCACTGTCATACCATCTGGTACTTCTCTTTTGCATATTCTGCGCACTATCATAACTTTTGACAATCTTGTCTGGCATATACTATCCACTCATACGTCCTCTGTCACTCCTTCCCTGCACACACTGCCCCCTGCCATACTTTGCAGCACCCTCTCCTGCACATACTGCTCACCACCATGGCCTTTGGCAACCCACTCCTGCATATAAAAAACGTTAATTTCCTCCTTTATTACACAATTGTACACATTGTTTCTACTTCTCATTGACATTTCTGTATATAAAACACTTCTTCAACATTGTGATATCCTTAACCTTGCCCGTTCTGGAACGAGCACAATTTTGCTAGTCAAAATAAAATGGTTTTTATGCCTGCATTGTGTTTTGTCATATTTGTGTTGTGCATGTCTTAATATGTTTAAGGTAAGTTTAATTCTTAAATGACTAAATGTAAATGATAGCCATGTAAGCAGAATAATCAGTCAGTCCACCTTTATTCTTTTTTTAAGTAGCTTTTATTTGGATGTCATCATGAAGAAGGATGCAAAATTTCAGTGCCACTCAGGTTCACCTTTGTAAAGGCAAAATAGACAAGTGTACATACATACATACACAAAAGCTGTATATCTCAAGCTATCAATGAAAGGACACTCCTCTCCAAATATTAGACACTATTCCCATCTATCGAGATATTTGATTAGGTTGATGTTATTTTTAAGTTAAGGTTATCATAAAACCTTCTGTTTAGAAATATGTTTGTAAGAATTTAACACCATATAGGTTGAGAAGAAAGCTGAGAGCATGAAAATCATTGATAGTTCATCATTGGAATCTGGGAGAGTCATCCAGTCCTGTGGGAATGCTATATGTGATACTGCATAGTATTTATTAATAAAAGGTACATCTAAACTTCCTGTAAATATGTCCTTTAAAAAGGTGGAACTATTAATCTGGGGGCAAGTGGAGGCCCACATGAATTTAAAGACTAATTTGTGGTATATATAAAAGTAAAGGCAAAACATGAACTCTTATATCCTAATTTGTCGCCATGTCTTCACTAGACCATCCAACCTTCTAAGTATGGGATAGTTAACTTTGTAGAGAGTTTCATTAGTAGTATTGAGGTGAATCCTCAGGCCACCAGGATGCCTATGTGAAAGCAAAACTGCCCTGAAACACCCACCTAGAGATTATGTGGGGTATAGAAGTTTATTACTTTAGATTTTGATCTGTTGATATGGAAACCCAAGAGATTTTTTGCAAGTTTTTCATTGCAATATTTAATAATGGTATTGGTTGGAAATGTGCCCATGTTTAGAGGTCTTTGTCAAGTTTGGAAATCATCAGAATACTTCTGAGCATTTCTGCATCTTGAAACCTTTCATACATGATCTTGCTATATTTACTGTATGGAGAGCAGGGGTTTCAGGTATTTGTTTTTTTTAGAAAAGAGCTGCTAAGCCATCTGTCCCAAGGTTTCTTATTTGTTTTGAGTCTGTCTTGTAATGGCCTGTTTTATTTTTAAACCAAAAAATGTCCAAATAAGTTTAGAAAAGTGGTAGAGGGACAGGGGCATAATGCAAGATCATGAAAAAATAGTATCGGCTACATCTTCCAGAAAAACATTGACAGGGGGAGTAACATTTAACTAAACAAAATACACCTAAACTACGTTGAATTTTAAGTAGAATTAGTTTGCTCCTTGCTTCCAGATACTGCAATTTATTGGCTAAAATTGAGTCTGCTTAGGTAACCTTTTTATAGTGTTTTTACTTTGTCCCAGTAACTGCCTTTCAGTTATGTTGCAGATGGTCAGGTCCAATATGATTTTGTTAAATTTGTGTTTGATGAAGAGGATTGGAGGGAGAAGATGGTATATTCCACGTATACCATCTTCTCCCTCCAATCCTCCTAAGAGACTTCCCCTGGCTTGGTAATAAGAATGGATGTTACACTTTTCTTTCTGCATACATGTGTTTTTCCCTGGCTTGGTAATAAGATGGATGTTTAACTTTTTTCTCTTACACAACATTACACTAATGATTGCTATTACTACCATAACTCATTTTTACTAATGTTATTAGTTTTATGAATTCTGCCATTTCTAATAGACCCTTTAGCTGAATTGCTCATTGTGGATGAACCAACAGACAATGTATGGTTCATGCAATGGTGCGGGTTCCTCTGTGTTTATGGATGTCTATAGGTTGATATTTTATATATTTTTTTTATATATTGTATATATTTTCCATATACATATTATACAACTTTTATGTATGTGTATTTATAGTTTATACACATTGTATGCATCAGACAATCAGTTTAATGTTATTAACACACCAATTTTAAAATCGTTTCTACTATTGCATTCATAAGCTGCACTTTAATGTATCATTTACCATATATACACATTTTATATTCATTGATTTCAATTGTATTAATTGTATGATTTTTTCATTTGAATGACCATTGATTATTTATTGTACTTTGTTGACACCCGGGCCCCTCCCCCCGGCCCCGGACAGCCCAACCCATTTGGGAGGGTCCTATTTTAGTCTGTGGGCATAAATGGGAGCATACACTCTCAGTCCAGTCAGCTCTGAGGAAGAAGGCATGACCTTCGAAACGCGTCAGCTGGACTGAGTACCTATACCCATGATGGGATTCGCGCTGGCCTCGTACCTTTGAAGTCCCTTGGTGGACTTACATGCCTATTTTTATTCGCTGTTTGTGAGTACCTTTCCTTCATTTAATAAATTTTTGTTACTGAGGTAATGCACAAGGTTGGTGCGCTTCTTGTTGTTTTACTTTGCAGTTAGTTCGGGCTCCCCCAGCCTTGGTTTGGAGCTGCACGACCTTGGATACTCCGGTGGTTGCTTCTCTGGAGGTTTTAATTCCATCTACTCGCCACCGGCCTGGGTCCCGGAGCGCAGGAGAAATCTTTTTTGGTTTATTCTCTTAATGCACCTTCATAGCCAGGCAACACAAGGCAGAAGACATGAGGCCAGCCTGTAAAGCTGCTTTGCAGTGGATCCTGTTGTGGGTGCTCCCCTTGGAATGTAGCACAACTTGTGGAGTTAGCCACAGGGTGCTTTACAGGTCCCAATACATGATCCGCCTGGTGCAAAGCACAGTCTCTGAAGCCCCCCTGCAAGGGTATCATGAAGAGTAAAGCTAGGAAGCAGTAATTTCCCCCTTATTCCTGCTCTTGGCATGGTGAATATAGGGTAGAAGCCTTTTAAATGTCCATCTCAGGGTGCCCAGTTATTTTGGGGTGAGATACAAATCGCTGTCCACCATTTCAAAGGTGCAATGTAGGATGTCGCTGTAGGCTCTTTAGTTGTGTTACTGAAGGACACCTAGTGTGGCATTACTATGCCATGCGCTGCCTCTGAGAGTGGAGGTCTGCACAAATGGACAATGCTGCACCTTTGTGAATTAGGCACATTGGCACCTGTGCAACTGAAGCACGCTCTTCCACCATCCCATTCTCAGGAGGTTACTACACTTGCATACCCTGCCTTTTCATTTTTGGAATCTGGATGATGAGCAACATCTGCTGGCTCTCCTATCTAGGGTGACATTGTGGTGGTTTACATTTGCAAATCCTAGGTTACAGCGGCCAACAGATGCTTGCACTGAGGTTGTGAGTTTCTCTTTATTTATGGGCATGGTGGACCATAAGCACAAACATAAGGGGTCAGACAGCTCAATTGCTCAGGTTTAGACTTTAGCTTCCTTGGGTGTTGCAATACATCTGCAGAGGTTCCTAGTTATCTCTCCTCTAATGGTTGCCCCCATACTAATGCCCGTGCTTCTGGTTATTTGGCTGAGCTGTCTGCCACACCGGCATCAAGGCTTCCTTTCCAGAGATGAATTTTTTTGTCATAATGCCAGAGTTCAAGATTCCTTGCCTTCTGAGGTGTCAGATATAGGGAGATGCTGCTACAGACATTTCTCCTGTGTGAGCATTTTAACCATTTAAGGACAGCCCTATAGCAGATATACTGCTACAGGGCAGTTGCGTTGAAATCACGTATCAGCCCTACCTGCGCTGTCATTGGCTACCGGAGATGTCATTCACTGGGTCCCCACCAGCGATTTATGGCTGGGACTCGGTGATCGGCGGAGAAGTTGATAGGGGAGGGATCTGTGTGTAAATAATACTCTGCAAAGCAGAGAGATAGAAAGTAACATGTCCCCTATTAAAAAAGCACACAGTATTCACAAAACAGCACACTGTTAACTCTTTGATCGCCCCAGATGTTAAACCCTTCCTTCCCAGTGTCCTGGAGTCCCATTAGCCGCAGTCCAAGAGTCACACTATAAGCTGCTGATTGCTGCCATTACTAGTATAAAAAAAGAAAAAAAAAATCCAGTATATAAATAGCCATTTGTAGATGCCAAAACTTTCAAGTACACCAATTAATATACACTTATTGGGATTTTTTTTTTTAACCACTTGTTCTCCTGAAGATTTACTCC